TTTCCTTTAGCTCATTGGGCATAAGACAGTTGACTTAATGTCTTTGACTAACGTTTCCAATGTAAGGGCTTCCGTGGGGATGGTTCCTATCCAATTATTTTTCTCCCCCCATGAATGGGCTATACTTTCCTTTTTCTTTGTATGCTTTGTAATATTTTGTTGAGCACTTGGCATTATTGTGGTAACTGAAAATCAGATTCTCCTCCTCTTCAGGGATTGTTGATTTTTGCTTGTTGAGGGTTGCAGCCATCTGTTTGTTTAGAGACTTTTCCAAACTATGTTTGCAAAGTGTGTAGTCCTTATTGGATGGGGTTACTGAAGTTTTTGTTTCATAATCTTTATAGGCAACCAGTGACTTGGAAATGATATCTGTAAATTTCTGGCTCCAAAAAGGTGTTCTTTCCTTTCAAATCTCCTGATGGATGCTGCCACAGGAAGCAGAAGAGGGCTGAAACCAATACAGGAGTCCATGCTAATCCCTCAGGACTCAAAAATTCCCCAATTTTTGGAGGACAAGGATCATCTTGCCTACCTTGCAACCAGCCAACCATTCCAGGAAAGCTATTCCTGCAGCCCCATGGTGGGGTGAGGGCTGAGAAATGGGGCATGGCAGCTGTTTTTGCATCCATCCTGTTGTTCTCTTACCAACAACCAGCAGCCTCTTTTTTCACCAAGAACTCTCCTGGCTGTTTATTCATGTCTCATGAGGTTTGCCCGGCTAATTTTTTGTATCTTTAGTAGAGATGGGGTTTCACCATATTGGCCAGGCTCATCTCAAAATCCTGACCTCAGGAGATCCACCTGCTTTGGGCTCCCAAAGTTCTGGGATTACAGATGTGAATTACTGCTCCCAGTCAAGGCTGGGTAATTTGTAAAGAAAGGAGGTTTATTTGGCTCACAGTTCTGTAGGCCATACAAGGATGTGGCACCAACGTCTGCTTGGTTTCTGGTGAGGCCTCAGGAAGCTTCCAATCATGGTGGAAGGCAAATGGGGAGCTGCACATCACATGGCAAGTGGAAATAAGAGCAAGGGAGCAAGAGAGGAAGGAGGAGGTGCCAGGCTCTTTTAAACAACCAGCTTTCATGTGAACTCATTACTGCAGGAAGAGTAGCAAACCATTTGTGAGGGATCCGCCCCCAAGACCCAAACACCTCCCACTAGGCCCCACTTCCAACATTGGGGATCACATTTCAACATGAGATTTTGAGGGAACAATATCCAAACCATGTCAGTGGCACTCTATTGACTCCAACATCTATGAATAGGACTGGTGCTTGCCTTGGTCAACTCTTGTCTCCCATTCGCAGTGGGGGGACCTGGCACATGAAGAAGGGATTAACCAATAATAAGTAATAAAATAATAAGGTAATAAAATAATATTTACTTTTTTTTTTTTTTGGGGGGGGGGAACGGAGTCTCGCTCTGTCACCCAGGCTGGAGTGCAGTGGCACTATCTCGGCTCACTGCGAGCTCCACCTCCCGGGTTCATGCCGTTCTCCTGCCTCAGCTTCCCAAGTAGCTGAGATTACAGGTGCCCACCACCACGCTTGGCTAATTTTTTGTGTTTTTAGTAGAGATGCGGTTTCACCATGTTAGCCAGGATGATCTCAATCTCCTGACCTCGTGATCCACCCACCTCGGCCTCCCAAAGTGCTGGGATTACAGACATGAGCCACTGTGCCTGACCTACTTTTTTTTTTTTTTTTTTTTCTGAGATGGAGTTTCGCTGTTGTTACCCAGGCTGGAGTGCAATGGCATGATCTTGGCTCACCGCAACCTCTACCTCCAGGGTTCAAGTGATTTTCCTGCCTCAGCCTCCCCAGTAGCTGGGATTACAGGCATGCACCACCACACCTGGCTAATTTTGTATTTTTAGTAGAGATAGGGTTTCTCCATGTTGGTCAGGCTGGTCTCGAACTCCCGACCCGAGGTGATTTGCCCGCCTCAGCCTCCCAAAGTGCTGGGATTGCAGGCGTGAGCCAGTGCACCCGGCCAATTTTTTTTTTTGAAACAGAGTCTCATTCTGTTGCCCATGCAGGAGTTCAGTGGCATGATCTCCGCTCACTACAGCCTCTGCCTTCCAGGTGTAAGTGATTCTCCTGCCTCAGCCTCCTGAGTATCTGGGATTACGGGTGTGTGCCACCACGCCGGCTAATTTTTGTATTTTTAGTGGAGATGGGGTTTCACTATGTTGGCCAGGCTGGTCTCAAACTCCTGGCCTCAAATGATCTGCCTGCCTCCACCTCCCAAAGTGCTGGGATTACAGGCATGATCCACTGTGCCCGGCCAAAGCTGATGATTTGAAAGTGTGATAAGTGCTACAAAGTAAATTTAAAAAGTGAGGTGAGGGCGGGTGCCTAGATGAGAGGGGAGGGGCTTTTGTGGACAGGAGTTCAAGAAAGCCCTGTTATTATTTGAACTGAGGCCTGAGTAAGGAGGCAACCATGGAAAGATCTGGGAGAAGTATTGCAGGCATAGAGAGATCAGCAGGTGCAAAGGCCCTGAGGCAGGAACTAGTCTGGAGTGTCTGAAGAAGAGAGAAATTTTTGTGGTTGGCCTGAGTGGTAGGGGGCTTGGTTGGAGGTGGGGAAGGTGGGTCCGACGATGCCGAATTCTAGCAGGATGTCTGGATTTGATTCTGGTTGCTGTGGGAAGCCATGGAGGGCCCAAGAAGGGAGACTGACACGACCTGATCCCCTTTGAAAAGCTCACCCAGGCTGCTGATTGGAGAATAGTTTAGGGGTGTGCGCATCAGATGTCTTTGGCTGCTCGTGATAGAAAATTGTCCTGGTCATTCAGAAAATTTACTGGCCTTTTAAACGGGAAGTTCAGAAGTGATGCAGACTTCAGAGTTGGTTGATTCAGCCCTGGATCAAGTTGTGTGACGTTGTCAAGGACTGGGGTTCTGTTCTTAGCTCTGCTGACCGCAGATTGCACTTCATTCTGAGTACTGGAGTGTCTAGGTGGTCTGGGGGGGCGGGGGCTGTCTGATACCCACAGGGCTACCTGATTTGCACTTCCTGGCCAAGGGGATAGACTGATTCCTTATGGGAGCACTTTCGAAGAATGAAGGAGAACCTTCTCAGGCAGGGCATGCTGGCTCATGCCTGTAATCCCAGCACTTTGTGGAGGCCGAGGCGGGTGGATCACTTGAGGCTAGGAGTTTGAGACCAGCTTCGCCAACATGGTGAAACCCTGTTTCTACTAAAAATACAAAAATTAGCCAGGCGTGTTGGCGCGCGCCTGTAGTCCCAGCTACTCGGGAGGCTGAGGCAGGAGAATCGCTTGAACCCAGGAGGCAGACGTTGCAGTAAGCCAAGATGGCACCATTGCACTTCAGCCTGGGCAACAGAACAAAAAAAAAAAACAAAAACAACAACAACAAAAAAAACCTTCTCAGAAGCCTTGGGGAAATCTCTATTTGCACGACATCACACACCCATTTGAACCAACTACTTACAAGGGAGATGCATCACCCCCTTTGCCTGGAGCTAGGGTGTGGGTCAGCTTCCTACAGGCACAGGACTATGTGGTCTGGGGTTGAGCCCCCAAACAAGGGGAAGTGGGGTGGGCAGCTGCCAATCTCCATTACAAAGGATAAGAGTGGGGGCAGCAAGACCCGATCAATAGTTGCTGAGGTGGCCAGGGATGGAGAGAGGATGGTGGTGGTAGAGGAGGTGGTAAGAATGGTCTAGTTCTGGCTGTTCCAGAGGTGATGATGGTTGGATGTGCAGTGAGGAAAAATGTGCAGGAATGAACATTTATCTTTTCCCAAGTTGTCCTTGCTTTCTTCCTTTGAAGCCATAAAAAGGAAAAAAATGGGTGGATCTGGACTTCGGAACTGGGCAGGAGTGAGGGAAGAGAAGCAGAGCAAGCAGGCACACTAGGCTGTGACTCTGCAGGCATCTCTCTGCCTAGACCTGTCTGTATAATGTGGAACGAACAGGACCCATCTTTGCTGCTAGCGACTGCAGCATAGGGCAAGGCCACTTCCATGCAGTTAGGTTAATAGGAGGCTGTGCAAAGGGCTGTAGGAGCAAGTGGGCACAGGAGTCCTAAAGTAATCGAACCGGCCAGGCGTGGTGGCTCACACCTTTAATCCGAGCACTTCAGGGAAGCCAAGACAGGAGGCTCGCTTAATGTGAAGACCAGCCTGGGCAACATAGCGAGACCCTGCCTCTACGAAAAATAGAAAAATTAACAGGATGTGTTGGTGCGGGCCGGTGGTCCCAGCTACTCCTGAGGCTGAGATGGGAAGATCGCTTGAGTCTAGGAGTTTGAGGCTGCAGTGAGAAATGACGGCACTACTGCACTTCAGCCTGGGCGACAGACCATGACTCGGTCTCTTAAAAAAAAAAAAAAAGAGAAAAGAAAAGCGGGGGCAAAGTTATCCTTGGAAAATTTCTTAGTCCATTCATAGCAGCATATTAAAATTAGTATAGTAGCTTAATTTATATGAGAAAATATAATGTGTACAGTAATTAATGAACATGCAAAATATAATTGTATATTTCAACTCCCTAAAAAGACACAGAAAAGAGTTGAATTTGCTAAAATTAAATGTGCTTATGAAACAGCTCTAGTACATGAATTAAGCTCCTAGATACAGATGCAGCGCGAAACAACAGGGAGGGAGATGGGGCACTCAAGGCGACACGTGGCTCTTGTGGCCCAGCGCTTCCTGGGCGTGGTGCTTCTCTAGAACGTAAGCTTTTTTATTTTTAAGGTTCCAAAGCCTATATTTAGTGCTTTCATATACTTAACCTCAAAAAAAAAAAAGAAATATCGGTATAAAATGTAAGCTTGCAGAGGGATACAAACGCAGCCCAGCGGCAACCACCTCCTGCCCCAGCCACGCGGTCCGCACCTGTCCCTCCCCTGGGGGCGGGGCCTGCGCAGGCTGGGCGTGTCGGGGGCGGGGCCGGCGCGCTTGCTTGGGGCGGGGCCAGCGCGCTTGCTTCCGGCGTGCCGCGCGGGGCGGGGCCTGTGAGGAGGCGCGGAGGAGGCGCGGCCGCCACGGGACGCCTAGCTGGGCCCGCACCGGAGAGGCGTCTCGGTACCTGGCGGCCGGCCTGCTACTGGGAGCCCGCTGCGGGGCGGCGGCAGCGGGGGCATGCGCGTGTGAGATGCGGCCGCGGGTGGCGCGGAAGCGAGCAGCTGCGGCGGCGGCGGGCGCGGCCTCCTGGGCGCGGGGCGCGCGGTGCCTGAAGGCGGGCGCGCGGGCGCTAGGTAGCCGCCGACCGCGCCGCCTGCGCAGGCGCTTGTTCAGGACTCACTCGCCGCACTGAGGCCCGCTGGCCGGTCATGGAGGCGCCCACCGTGGAGACGCCCCCAGACCCGTCGTCCCCTTCGGCCTCGGCCTCGGCCCCGGCCCCAGCCCCGGCCCCGGTCCCGGTCCCGGTTCCGCTGCGCGCCCCGGACGTGGCGCGGCTGCGCGAGGAGCAGGAAAAGGTAACTGGCAGCCCCGCGCCGCTTCCGCCTCCGCCCGGCGGGCCGTCCCTGCCTGTGCTCCGGGCCGCTGCCCCGCGTGGCCTAGGCCCAGCTGCCCGGGCCCGCGGAGGGAACGGGGGAAAACTTTTGTCACGTGCTTCTGTTGTCTTTGTCTGCAGTCCTTTGACCTCGCAGCGGAGTGGGGGGTGTGCAGCCTGTTCGCCTGCCCAGGGAAGGGGGCTTCTGAGCTGAAGGCGTGCGGCAGCGCGTGGGAATTTGGGGGCGGGGGCAGCACGCTGTCAACGGAAGCGTTAGCCTTAATATTTGTAGCTTGTAATATCCTAAACATTGCTTGAAATGTATACTGTTTGTTGCTCTTTATTTGATTGCACGGAAAAGTTTTACTGCGTTTGTCATGATAATGCTTCCTGTGCAATATTTGGTTATTTAATATTTGTAACACTATAATGCCATTTAAACAAAAAAAAAAAGAGAGTCTCACTATGTTGCGCAGGCTAATCTCGAACTTCTGGCCTCAAGCAATCCTCCCCCTCGCCTCCCCCCCCACCTCGCTTCCCCCCCACCTCGCTTCCCAAAGTGTTGGGATTATAGGCCTGAGTCACCGAACCCGGCTCATTTTTATAAATTTTAATTTCATCGTATAATAAATGAATTTTAAACTACTGGTGAAGAGGGTACAAAGTTTTGTGTTTCCTAGTGGGACTTTATATAAAGAAGTATTCCCAATTTAAGAAATAGTTTTATTGTTAAATCTGATTTTTCTGTGGATCTTTCAGATTGATTCTGTCCCCTCAAGTGTCTTGAAATTATTACTTTGAAAAGCAGTATTTAATTTGCTTAAAATATTTTATGTCATTTATGGAAGAGCATCATGGATTATAAAGGGTTAGGAAGTTGCTTCAACACTATAAGCAGTTTAAAAGTTCTTAACTGTTTAATTGAACATTCCTGTATAAGAACGGCTATTTATATAGATACAAAAATGTACTCAGTTCAACTAGATGGGGGTTTTAATAGAACTTAAAAAACACTCGTTTGCTTGGAAACTACCTGTTGGGATCAACTGCGGGAATCATTCTTTGTTCTGATTGGTTTATTTTATGGGTTGGATTTCCGTTTCTCAGCCATTTTTCTCTAATAACGCAACTGTTAGGTTTGGAAGCCTATTTTCAAGATGAAGGTTTAAAAATCCAGTGGCTAGCGTGGTGACTCAAACCTATAATCGCAGCTGCTTGGGATGTCAAGGTCGTGAAATTGCTTGAAGCCAAGGAGTTCGAGACCAGCCTCGGCAACATAGGGAGACCCCGTCTATACAAAAAAATACAAAAAATTAGCCAGGCCATGGTGGTGCACGCCTGTAGTACCACGTACTTGGGAGACTGAGGTGGGAGAATCACTTGAGCCCAGGAGTTTTGAGTGGGCCATGGTCATGGCACTGCACTTCACCCTGGGCGACAGAGTGAGACCCTGTCCTAAGAAGAAAAAATATACACACACACACACACACACACACACACACACACACACACACACACACACATATTTAACTTAACTAGTTTGGCCTTTTTAAATTATAAGACATTAATGTATTTTTTTTTTTTAAAGAGAAAGAAAAGAAAGAAAAAACAGCCCCTCATGAAATCTTACTCCTTTTGCCAAAACTTGGCATTTTTTATTCTTTCAGAGAATGTGACACAGACCCTTAGAGGATGGTGTTTCTATTGCCTTTCCTCTGCTGCAGTGGGGTAATTTCACCTCAGTGTATAATATGTGCATAATGCTGACCTGATATATTTTCTACAATTTGGCGTATTAAAAAGAGATCCTCAGTTTTATTCTGATGTTAGTGTGACTGAAATGCAAAGGATACTTTTTGGGGTGCTCTGAACAGCTTTCTGGTATCGTGTTGAGTTACATTGAAAGAGAGAGTAACTGCTTTTTCAGTTACAGTCTTGTGGCAAACTGAATGTTTTCTGTAGACGCTGTCTGTGCTACCAAATTATTTTTCTTTGTTGTGTTAGTGTTAATTTGGCACACAAAATAACCACGTGTATATCTATCATGGGTATGTAAAATTATCCCCAGTTCAGGAAAAAGCGTGTCAGTATTTAATCTATCTTTATTTAATAGAAGCATCTGCTTCAGTGGACAGGAGACCCTCAAGGCCGCAAAATAAACTGATTAGATAGCTGCACTGTAATTATAGTGTCGTACAGGAAAACTATCCAGTAAATCGGCAGTGAAAATTTTTTGTGAAGCACTTTATTTAGGCTTTAAAGCCAGCCCAGTTGTGGGAGTACAGTGAGTTCTAGTAAAGTAGAAGCATAGTGACATCCTGAGTGTAGAAGGGGAAAATGTCATAGTAGCTTTATATGTGGCACTTAGTAGTTGAATCAAGCATGCTTTTAAGCTCTTGGCCTTTCCCTACATGGGTTTTGTGAGACAGAGTTAAACTCTGCAGAAAATGATCTGAATGACTGTTTTCAGTTTCCCCTGGGAGGGTACCTACCTAGTTGGCTCTAGATGCAGAGAGAGAAATGAGTTCTTTACATACAGTGGGTGCCTTAGGCTTAGGGCATAATCTTCTCTGGGAGCCTTGATTGAGAGGGGCTGGTAGGTAATGTGGCTTAAATGTTGCTCATTAGTATTGTTCTTTCTTTTTTTCCAAATTGAGCTAGGGAATATAACAAGTTTTACCCTCTGTCTGTTTTTTTATTGTATCTTCTCTGGAACATGGAATAAAAAGGACAAAAAATTGGCAAACTGAGGAAGAGGACAGACAAGGGGCACGAACAAGCCACGACCTCAAACTGACAACATCTGTAGTCAGTGGTTAGGATCAAATTTTTTTTTTTTTTGAGACGGAGTCTTACTCTGTCGCCCAGGCTGGAGTGCAGTGGCCGGATCTCAGCTCACTGCAAGCTCCGCCTCCCGGGTTTACGCCATTCTCCTGCCTCAGCCTCCGGAGTAGCTGGGACTACAGGCGCCCACCACCTCGCCCGGCTAGTTTTTTGTATTTTTTAGTAGAGACGGGGTTTCACTGTGTTAGCCAGGATGGTCTCGATCTCCTGACCTCGTGATCCGCCCGTCTCGGCCTCCCAAAGTGCTGGGAGTACAGGCTTGAGCCCCCGCGCCCGGCAGGATCAAATATTTTAACATTGCTTTCACTTATAGAGTCAATGGTGAAACATTTCCAAAACAATTTGTTTTAGTTAAAACTTTGGTTGGTTTCTATTTTGATCTAGCAGAAAAACATGTGAGAAACGTTCCCTGCAGCTTTGTTTATAATAATGAGAAAACTTAAAAGTCTGACATTAGGGGATTGGTTAAATGAATCAGGAGCTATTATGTAGGCATTGAAAACTAGGACAGTATGTATAGGGTGGTTCCAGTTATGTTTATGTAAGTATTTACACATTTTATATAGGAAAACACTGTTGTTTTAAAAGTACACAATTTTATTATTTTACCTAAAAGTTTGTAAAATTGGATAGGATTTTTTTTCCAAGAAAAGCTATTGATAAAACTTATTTTAATTTTAACGAAAATTGGAATGTTATTTTAATTGCAAAACACTTTCTGAGCCTGAAAAATGACTCTTGGCTGGTTTGAACGCCAATTAGGCAGGTTTATTTCTTGGTTACTTCAGAGCTGATATATATAATTTATTCAAACAACCATCTTCCAGTTGATTCCCTTTTTTCCCCCCCAAAGGTTTTATTTATTTGTTACAAGATACAGGGAGAGGAGAGAAATTCAAAGCATCCTTTTTTTTTTCTTTCTTTTAACTAAATCATTTTTACTAACGGCAGTAAAATATTTGTTGGAAAAATGGAAGCTTAACCTGTCTAGACTGTGACCTATGCCATAAAATGTGTGGTCTAGGACTGTTGTGGAGTGTCTTGGGCTGTTCAGGGTGGTTTCCTTGTACTAAGATCTTGTTAAATCTGATTCTAATAATTGCATTATGTTGAAATTTTGGTTTCTTGGCTAAGGTGATGTTTCTGAGATATCTGTATTTTATATCTCTAGATACTATTAGCTTTCGTTAGCAGAACTACTGAGATTTTATTGTAATATTTTAAAAAGTGGTATATCCAGTATCGTTTTTATAGGCTTATTTGCAGGATAATAGTAAGATTAGAAAATTCATTAGGATAATATATTTATAATTGAGTGCCTCATGTAATTCTCACTTGGAATTTTGGAATAGCTTATATTTCCTGATATAGAGCCTTGGGGAATTAAATGCATTAAGAGTAAATATTTTAAATTTTTTATAAAGCAGAACAGCTAATTTAACTTAATGGAGGATTTTCATATTTCTTATGATAAACTAAACTGCACATAGTTTAAGGAACTGTCAGCGACGTAGGCCATATAACAACTATTCTTTCCAAGCCTAGAATCCATGCCATAGAATTTATGCAACAAATATTTAATGAGTATCTACTACATGCCAGGCATGTTCTGCTGAGTGTGCAGTAATGAACAAAATACAGAAAGTCCTTACTTTCATGGTTACACTGTAGGGGTGAAGGCCTGCAGTTACATAGCCTTACCTTGGGTGTTTGGTAGGTAAGGCTACGTAGAAAAACAGGAAGGTAAGAGGACTGTAGAGAATGTGGGATGTGAGTGCAGGGATGGTGTCTTCTGTAAGCCATCAGAGAGGGCTTCTCAGTTAGGTTCCATTTGAGCAGAAACTTGAAATAAGTGGGGAGTGACCTGTGTGAATATATGGAGGATATTTTGGAGAAGAGCTTTCTAACCAGTGTGAGAGCAGTACCAGATCATTGTAAGAGTTTTGGTTTTTATATCTGTGAGATGGGAAACCATTGGAATGTGTTTTGAGGCTGATCTTAAATTATATCCATTTGTCATACATATGTGAAGAAATGGACGGATGGAATTACATTATAGGGAGCAACTCTGTGTGCCACGCATTGTGATAGATGTTTACAGATCCGAACTTAGGATTTTCATTAATACTGTTTGTTTTT